ATTTTTGAAAGTAGTTTTTTTCTAGATTAATGTTGGATTTTTTGGATTTTTTCATCATTAATTGTGTTTTATTTGTTTTGAGCTTCAAAACAAGCCTAAAGGCAACTTGGCTCCGCCTACTTTGACTTTTCCGGCGCGTCGCGGTTGTGCGTCGCGTGCGCAAAGTGAAAACTCAAAGTGGGCGGAGCCTACTCGTGTTTGGGTTCATTTTGAAGCTCTGAACTTACCAAATTCAAAAAAATAAGTTACAACAAACGCATGTTAGATTTTGAAGACTTACAGTCAAATTTAGAAAAAAATTTGTCTGAAAATTAGTTTTTGTCCCAAATTTTTTGTCCAAATTCTTCAAAATTGGTCATGTTTAGGCTCATTTTGAAGCTCTCAACCTCTCAAACGCAAATTTTTCAGTTTCAAAATTTTTCAGCGAAGGATACGAGGAGCTATTGGCCACTTATGACCTAAATTGGCACTTTGCTTATCCCCAATTCGTCACGTGTTGCGGATTCTTTTTCATCTATTTTATTGAGGAATTCACGACGTTTGTGAGTGAATTCAGAAGACGTGACGTCTTCTAAAAAAATTTTTTTAGGTTTTTGGAAATGGCCAGCAACCGGGCCATGGTCATTCGCACTCCATGAGCCTGAGAGGTCAAAAAGTTGGAAATTCCGAATTTAATGGAGGGCTGAGTCCAGGATTGCCCAAGGAGAGAAAAGGCAGTGTTAATATTACGAAGTTAGTTTAAGAAAATCAGAAAATTCCAGCAAATTCCAGCAAATTTGAAGGGTTTTGGACCATTTTGAAAAGGGTGGCCGAGTTTTTTGTCCCCTGGTGGCCTAGAAATACATTTCCCTATATCGAAATTTATACTAATCGATTTGTCTTGTTAAGAGCTTCAAAATGAGCCTAAACACGACTAGATTCGGTAACTTTGATTTTTCGGCAGCGTCGCGGTCGTGCGTCGCGTATCTAGGCGAAATTTCAAAATGGGCGTAACCTAGTCGTGTTTGGGCTCATTTTGAACCTCAGGACTCCTTGAGTTTACAAATGCGTGTTTCAGAAGTTTTGTACAATTTTTTAAGGAATTATGCGTCCCAAACCAAAATTGAAGACATTTTTTTTCGAACATTCTGAAAATTTGCAAACTTGAACTTTCGCACTATGAAACTGCTATAGTTCTACTCAGCTCATTGTGCGCTTTAAAATGAGCTCAAACATGACTATGCTCCGCCCACTTTGATTTTTAGGGCGCGTCGCGGTCGTGCGTCGCGTGCCTAGGCGCAAATTTTAAAATGGGCGGAGCCTAGTCGTTATTGGGCTCATTTTGAAGGTAAAAACCTTCTGAGCACAAAAATTTAAGTTTAGGGAGAGAAGGGTCGTTTTGAAGCGATTTATGGCTCAAAATTGAAAAAGACAATTTTTAAAAATTGTGGAAATCTAGTCATGTTTGGGCTCATTTTGAAGATCTAAATCTGCTAAACTCAAAAATCTCATTATCAGCTTTTGAATCTCAAAATTACGGGTTTGAGACCCTAAAAAAGAGAAATTTCAGCCTCCGCATGGAAGAAGCATCAACCTGGGTGGTGTCTGATGAGAAGTCCAACATCCTCAAATCCCTAACTTTTGCCGTTGCCATGTCCTTCCACTCGCTTCTGGAAGGTTTTGCCCTTGGCGTTCAAGACACTACTGGCCGAATTTATGCCCTTTTTTTCTCTCTACTTCTTCATAAGAGCGTAGAGGCATTCTCAGTGGGTCTTCAGATTTCAATGGCTAACTCGAATAAAGTGAGAAATTCCAGAGAAATTTAAGCAGAATTGAATTTGTCGAAAAAAATGGGACATGTTATCAATTGGAAGTTTTGCTCTAGCTCCTCTGGGAGCTGACATACGCTTTATGGAGTTAGAGAGAGTTAGAAATGCGGAGAGCGCAGAGAAATCTAGCTTCTCTGGGTCTCTCACTCCTCCCAACTGTCTCAATAATCTTTAAAAAATAAGAAAAAAGTAATCTGGAGGTATGGGGAATCGAACCCCAGACTTCTCGCATGCAAAGCGAGCGCTCTACCCCTGAGCTATACCCCCACACCCTTTCTTTGGAAGTGAATGGCGGTTATAAATGGGGAGGAAAATGGGAAATTTTAGAAGGGTCATAACTTTGGAAGGAGAAGAGATGGTTGAAAATTTTCAACTAATGAATTGTTGGAAATTTTATGCTGAGCAATTTTGTAGTTGTCAACTTTTTTGTAGCTAAATTGGTTTTAAAGATATAGTGTCTTGAAAGCTAGGCTTTAGCTAGAGGGATTTAGCTGCCCGTTTAGAAACCGTATCTAGGAAAATCCCGATTTTCCATTTAAAACTTGAAATTCTACTAATACTGATGTATATTATTTTGAAGCTCTTAAAATTTCCTTTAAATTGGTATGAAAAGTTTGTGGATCTGTCAATGCCGAAATTAGATGTGGCGCTTAGAAGTCGCAATGTCTCGGCAAGAGGGAAGACAACTTTAAAGGCGCATACCTCAAAAACTACGATAGCTAGAAACGCTTTGAAAACTGTATTATGTGTGAAATTTTACGCTTCCCAATTTTGTAGTTAGTAACCTTTTTGACAGCTACCGTAGTTTTAGAGTTATGCGCCTTTAAAGTGGGCACATGCTTCCAGGGCAAGGAAGAAGGTAAGGGCACAAAGAAGCTAGAGCGTCTCGCTTCTCTGCGTCTCTCCAAGGTTCATTTCGAGCTCATTTTGCGAGGTAGACAGTTAGAATTTCAAGTTTTCAACGCCTAAATTTGATTTTCTCGATGTTTTCAAGTCAAAACCGTTCTTCATGGATTTCAATTTAAAAAACCCCGAATCAAAAAAGCTACCTAACTTTAAAGGCGCATAACTCAAAACCAAAAATGCTATCAATAAGTTGTCCACTACACTATTGCTCAGCATAAAATTTTACACATTTTTGTAGTTTAAAACATTTTTCTAGCTACAGTAGTTCTTGAGTTATGCGCAAAGTAAAGAGCGCCAAGGGTAGGGGTGAGGGGAACCCTATCTTTAAAGGCGCATAACTCAAAAACTACGATAGCTAGATAAAATTTCTCAACTATAATGTTCTTCAGCATAAAATGTCACATATTTTTATAGTTAGCAACTTTTTTCTAGCTTTCGTATTTCTTGAGTTATGCGCCTTTAAAGTATGCGCACGCCCTAGGGGCTGCTTTGGTCATCGGGGACTGGGGAGCCTTTTCTTTAAAGGCGCATATCTCAAAAACTACTGTAGTTAGCGAAACGTTGTCAACTACAAAATTGCCCAACACAAAATTTGACACTTTTTTGTAATTGACAACTGTTTTCTAGCTACATTTTTCTAGCTAGTTTTGAAGTTATGCGCCTTTAAGGTAGAGAGCGCCTAGGTGCCGTTTTTTATCGTTTAAAGGGGAGGTGTTGGGAAGTTTCTTTGATAGCGCATATCTGAAAAGCTACTGTAGCTAGAAAAAAGCTGTAGACTACAAAATTGGTCAGCATTAAATGGCACACATTTTTATAGTTGATAACTTTTGGATAAGTACTGGAGTTATTGAGATATGCGCCTTTAGAACTCCCAAGTTTTCAAGGAAACATTTTGCAGAATACAACCGTACTCGCCACCATTCTAATCTACAGTCTTATGGCTCCAATGGGCTCCCATTATNGGATCGGATCTCCAGAATTCCGAAACCAATATCTATAAGGAGTGTGCTATTCCGCTTCTAGAATCTCTGGCAGCTGGAACATTCATTTATGTGACGTTTATTGAAATTATGGCTTCCGAGAAATCCAATGATTTCAATCATTTAAAACAGTTGCTTTGGATTATCATTGGATTCGCTTTGGTCACGCTAATGCAGATTTTCTTCGGCCATGAGCACTCCCATGAGGGTCATGGGGGACATGGAAATGGTACCGATGATGGGCACCATGGTGCCCATCATCACCATGGACGTTAATGATGTATATAACTTTTTTGATTTTTGAAAAATATGCTTTAAATTGTGATTTTTATATGTTTCTTGATGATAATAAAGTTTTCAAGATTTTTTTCAAAAAAAAGACTGAAATTTCAAAATGGCTCAATTGTGATAAAAATCGATATCACGAGCTGAAATGACCTAAAAATCAATATTCCAGAAAAAAATTCCGAAAAAATCGAGAATTGAAAAAGTTATTTTTTCGAAAATTTCACTTTTTTTTCGAAAAATTTCAAAATGCTCCAATTGTGATAAAAATTGATTTCACGACCTAAAACAGGCTGAAAAAAGGGAATTTGTGAAAAAATTTCGAAAACTTCAAAAACTGAAAAACTTTTTTTTTCGAATTTTTCACTTTTTCAAAAATGGTAAATTTTCCAAAAAAAAAAGTTTCTCAACTTTTGATTTTCTCTAAATTTTTGTTCAGATTCCTCGTTTTCAGGCCATTTCAGCTCGTCATATTAATTTTTATCAAAATCGGATCAATTTGAAAAAATCGATTTTTCTGAAAATTCATTTTAAAAAGTGGCTTTAAAAAATAGAAATTCATTTTTCGGGAAGCTCGCAATCTGTGGAAAAAATCTCGTAGAAAAAACAGGAAACTCGAAAATAAGAAAAGTACACATAAAATTGATAATTTTCAGAAATATTGATTTTTTGAAATATTGCTGAAAATGGAAAATTCTTGAAAAAATCTGGAAAATCATGGGGGAAATGGGGAAAGTGGGTCAAATACACAGAAAATAGAGTCATCAAAAAAAAAAAGGTACATGTAAAGATAATCAAAAAGTGACAATATAGAGAAAATTGGGTCCAAAAATCGCATTTTTCAAAAAGTTTCAAAATGCTCCAATTCTGATAAAAATTGATATAACGACCTAAAATGGCTCGAGAATGAGAAATCTGAAAAAAAAATTCCAAAAAATCGAAAATTGAAAAAAAAATTTTTTGAAAATTTTGGCGAAAAATCTCAAAAATGTTTTTTTTCAAAAATCGATTTTTTCGGAATTTCTTGACAGTACCTCATTTTTTAGGCAATTTTAGGTCGTGATATCAATTTTTAACAGGATTGGAGCATTTTGAAATTTTTCGAAAAAAAATTTTTTTTTTTGGTCCAAAAAATTTTTTTTCAAAATCTCAAATTTTATTGTTGTTGTTGATGCATACTGTAGTTTGACCGGCGTAAATATGTTGCGCCACCCGGAGACACCCGCCAACCAGAAATCGAACGAAATGGTCGCCCGCATAGGCGCCCACACCGTACAACGTGTCATCCTCCGGGCTACGGTAGTCTAGGAAAGTGGGCGGAGTCTCGAACACGGTAGAAAAATGAGATTCCCTTCCAATGCACACGGCTACTGTAGAATACGGCATTTCGATGATTTCCTGAGCGCCAGTCGTGATTTCCGCATGGATTTTGGAAATTGACGAAATTTGGGCGTCTAGGATTCGCTGATAGTTTTTGTGGGCGGAGCGTCCGATCATCATACGGTAGACTTCCGTGTACTCGGAATAGTGAATTGGCGAGAGACGGGACAGCATCACATCTGGAAAATGACTCGAAAATGACGTTTAAGGGGGGGGGGGGTGGTGAAAATTGTCAAAAATTTCAAAATGGTCCAATTGTGATAAAAATCGATTTGATGCGCTGAAATTACCCAAAAATTGATATTCCAGAAAAAAATTCCAAAAAATCGATTTTTGAAAAAAAAAAATTTTCGGAAATTTTCATTTTTTTCAAAAACTTTCAAAATGGTCCAATTCTGATAAAAATCGATATGACAGGCTGAAATCAACGGAAAATCAATATTTCAGAAAAAATTTCCAAAAAAACTGAAAATTTAAAAAACTTTTTTTTTTCGAAAATTTTCACTTTTTTCAAAAATTTCCCAATATCGATTTTCCAGACATTTCTAGTCCGAATAACCGTAAATTTTCAGATTTTTCAGCTTAAAAATTGCTATTTTCGTCGAATTTCACCCAAAAAAAGATATTTTATCAATGGAGCGCACTTACTCCTAAGCTCTCTCAAATTCCTCCTTATCACATGAACGACTGGAATATCACGCTCCAGACAGTGTCGAACACAGTCTACAGATGAGACACCGTCCCCGACGACGATTACAGGCGCCGCAGATGACGTTGATCTGGAAAAAACCGATAATTTTTGAAAAAAAATTTTGGCTGAAAACAATTTTTTTCGGAAAATTTCAAAATGCTCCAATTTTGATCAAAATTGATATCACGAGCTGAAATGGGCTGAAAATCAATATTCTAGCTGAAAATTTCGAAAAAAATCGATAATTGAAAAAATTTTTTTTTGAAAATTTTCGAAATTATTTTTTTTTGAAAAAAATCCCGAAATTCGTCATTTTCAGAATTAAAAAAAAAAATTTTTTTTTTTTCTAGACCAATTCGGACCCCTAGAACTCGATTTTCAGCTCGAAATATCAATTTTCTGGCATTTAAACCGACTTACGGTGTAGAATAGTGCTCATCGTCCATCACCGTCTTCTTGGTGGAATCCAAGCGTTCTTTGAGGGTCCTTACATCGTAGACAATGTTAGATGAGCAATGTTCCTCGTTGGGGAGCTGAAAATCATTAAATTTGTCTGAAAATTCCAGAAAACTAAGAAAAAAATTTTTTTCCGAAAAAATTTTTGCTGAAATTTTCAGAATTTTTTTTTCGAAAATCGATATTTTTGGCATTTTTTTTCTGGAATATTGATTATAAGCCTATTTTAAGCCGTCATATCAATTTTTATCAAGATCGGACAATTTTGAAATTTCTCGAAAAAAATCCAAAAATCCAAATTTTTTTTTTCAAAAATCGATTTTTTCGATAATTTTCAACAGATTTATGCTTTTCATGCCATTCTAGTTCGTCATGACAATTTTAATCAGAATTGGGCGATTTTCAAAATTTTCGAAAAAAAGTTGAAATTTCAAAAAAAAAATTATTACAAATATCGATTTTTTCGGAATTTTTCTTCGAAATATTGATTTTCAACCCATTTTGGGTCGTCATGTCAATTTTTATCAGAATCGGGTGATTTTGAAATTTTTGACAAAAAACACCACCCCCCCCCCTTTTATTTTTCGAATTTTGGTCGAAATTTCGCATTTCTAGCGTTTTTAGGCTATTTTTCAGCGGTTTTTGGGTCATTTCTAGCTATTAAGGCTAGATTAAGCCCTCCAGCTGATTTTGAAAATTTTTGCCGAAAAACACCACCCTCCCCCCCCCCCCCCCTCTCATTTTCGAATTCGAGCCCAAAAATCGCATTTTCAGCGTTCTTGGGCAATTTTATATCGATTTTTGCAAATTTTAGGATCATTTTCAGCGAATTTAACACTCACCATCAACTTCCTGGGACTTGTCTTGCCACACGCCACCACCACCTGCTTACTTCGGATCCTGAAGCCTCTACCATCGGTACTCCGCTTGCCCTCCGTCACCCAGACATCTCCAACCTTCCTTATCGATTGGACCCCAAAGTATTGATGGAATTTCTTCCGCAACTTCAACTTCTCCACATATTTCTTTAAATACGTGGCAATTGCTACAGAAGGCAGTCTTTTCACCAACGGACGTCCCCCCAACCACTCATTCATCGTAAATCCCGGCATATCCATCCAATCGCTAAACGACACCGTTAGCATCTCCGGATCGTACTCATTCCAGGATCCACCGATTTTGGTTTCCCCGATTACCATATGGGGTACCTCTCGGGACCGATTCATCTCCCATTGTAGACATCCGGGGGCGTCTGAGCCCATATCGGCACCGGGGCGGACTAGCATGTCGAAGAGGACGGATAATGGACGGCCAGATTGAGAGAGCTCGGTTAGGTTAGACGACCAGGAGAGATCCTGAAAAAATCTATGGTGAAAATTTCAAAATGGTCCGATTTTGATAAAAATTGATATCACGAGCTGAAATTGCTTGAAAAACTACAATTCGTTGAAAAATTCCGAGAAAATCGATTTTTGAAAAAAAAAATTTTTCGAAAATTTCACAAAATTTAAAAATGCTCCAATTCTGATAAAAATTGATATCACGAGCTGAAATTGCTTGAAACTAAGGAATCTGTGAAAAAATTCAAAAAAAATCGATTTTTGAACAATTTTTTTTTTTCGAAAATTCGCAAAATTTTTTCTTTAATTTTTGGCTGAAAATGATTCTGAAAGTGCTCCGAATCGTTTGTAATCAGGCTATTTGAGTTAAGGACGTCTAGAGCTTCAAAATGAGCTCAAACACGCCTAGGCTCCGCCCACTTTAAAATTTCACGTGCGGCACGCGACGCACGACCGCGACGCGTCGGAAAAACTAAAGTGGGCGGAGCCTAGTCGTGTTTGGGCTCATTTTAAAGCTCTCAACGTCCTTAGTTTGAATTTGGTGTTTTCAAGGAGTTTCAGAGAGTGTTAACTAGAATTTGATTATTTAAAGGTGGAGAACATCGTTAACTTTGAGCCAATTTATCTATGACCTTTTTTCGAAAAGTGTCGAATTTCTAGAAATTTCTCAAATTTCACATTTTTTTGCCGTCTATTTTTGATCTGGAACTTTTTCTTTCGTTTTCAACAAATAGAAAAGCATAGAGAGGAGTTTAGAGTTTGAACGGGTGAGGGGTGGTGTTTTTAGTCAAAAGATTTCAAAAATCATCTGAATGGCTTAAACTACCTGAAAATGAGCCTTACCTAGCCTTAATAGC